TGATTTTAAGTCTCATCTCAACCAGCTCTAATGAATATGGAATTAAAAGTCCAAAACTTAACCAGGCAATCAGTTCGGCTTTCCCTTCAAGGTCCCAAACATAACTCACTTAGCAGAAAATGTGTCATCTATAAAGCCCACACTCAAACTTGATTGCTAGCTGTTGCTTCTAGGTAAAGAGCTCACAGTTTCTTCTCCACTACAAGAGCCAGAAACTTTATCATCAAAGCAAGGAATGGAATATCTTTGTGATCCCTTGCCCATGTCAGAAATCCATCAGCGCTGTAAATAAAACTCAGACTGAGAATAGGTGTATTTACATGACCTGCCTTTTCATCTGCAAAGCAAAAAGTAAAGAGGAGCAAGAGGAGACCTTGCAGCTATGGCAACAGGACCCACTAATGATTATTATTACTTTATTATTAGTTTTATTTATTTGCTGCATTTCTCTCAACAAGGGACCCAAAGTGTCTCACAACATTAAAATTCACACAATTTAAAAACACAGTAAGTTAAATATTAAAAGATAAATTAAACAATATATGATTTAAAATACAATTAAAAGATTAAAACATGAAAACATAAACAAGATTAAAATTATCTGCTAAAACAGAGTTCAGGGATTCAGATATAATTGTTAAAAGCCTGCCTGAAGAGATGGGTTTTCAGCTTTTTTCGAAAGGATAAAAGGGAAGAGGCCATCCTGTGTTTTCCAGTCTTTGATCCTCCAGATGTTTCGAACTTCGGCTTTCAGAAGCTGAAGTCAACATGGCCAATGCTCATGGATTTTGGAACTGAAATACAAAATAGCTGGAGGGCCAAATGTTGGGAGTTACTGGTTTGGGGATGGAGGCTGGGGCCTTGGTGCCGAGCCCTGCCACTGGGCAGAGTCACATTAAGTGGCAAGCGCTGAAAGGAATCAACAAGGAGAGCTGTGTAGCAGGCTGTCTGCCCTGCTCTCCTTGACCTAGCCTGTTGCCTTCAGGTGAGACAAAGGATATTCTCCCTTCATTACTGTGAAAGAGTCAACTGCTGGTACAGTATAGCTGGAATGGGGGAGGGGGCTTTTCCCTGTTCTTTTGCTTTCAATGGCAAAATATCTCAGGCCAATCCTGGTCCATTTCCAAAGTGGTCCAAAAAATGTAGCAGGGAGTGTGCATGTACATATGTGGAAATACACAAACACTTGAGGCTGTCCATCATATGTGCTTTTGGGAGAGGATTAAAGCTGAAGAGTACATATAGAAGACTTTGTTGTATAAAGTGCAGCGAGCCCATTTGTACACTCATGGACCAAGACTTCCCTGACTTGGCCACAAACTATCTATGCACACATGAGAACAATGCATTTGTAATGCTGCCATTCTGGTAGATGATGACATGAAAGGGAAGCAGCACAAAATGGGCAGGACTGCTTTCCTTCCTGCACAAAAGCAGTAACTGCATCTCACTCCCTATATATGTGTGCATATGTGTGCATGTGTGTATGTGTGCGTGTGTGTTTTCTCTCTCTCTTTCTCTCTCTCTCTCTTCCCAATTTACTTCCCCTTTCTTTCTGACCAGCCAGCAAGATCCTGACCTTTTGTTTGCCTTCTGCTCTCTGTTAAGAAATGGTGGCAGTAAAGGAAGATGGCAACCAAACAAACTGTTGTCCATTCTGACAACACAGATTTATCTCATTTCCTTAACTTCAGTACTAGTGAGACTACTAACCCACCTGCATGCTCTCTGTAATTCCCCGTTTCTAGCAAACCTTTGATCTTGCACACAGGTTCCCCCCCCCCATCATCCCATACTAGCTCCTCCTGGTTGTTAGCTGAGCGCATTCCTTTATTTGTTACAGTTCTACTCCACCTTTCCTCCAACGTGTTCAAGGCAATATACAGAGTTCTCTTCCTCCCCACTCCCATTAAAACTTAGAGGTAGGTCAAGCTGACAGACATGGGCTGGCTTAAGGTCACTGGGGACTTGGAACATGGATTTCCCACTTCTCAGTCCAATATTCTCTCCACACGGACTCTCCCACTCCACTGGGAATACAGATACAGATACTAGCAGGGTATCTGTGGTATCGATACTAGCAGGGCTTTCTGCAACAAGACCTGCGGGCCAACCTACACCACAGCTCAGTAGCTATCAGAAAGGCCACCTAGCCCTGTTCACCCTCTCCTTGGGAGAAATAAAGGCCTTCCTCTTTGAAAATGAACTTCAGTGGCAACCCAGGAGTCCCTCTGCTCCTATACCATGAAATCTGGTCACTCCTCTGCCAGGATGACACGTGTGTGCTATGAACCATGCCTTCATTTGTGGGGCATGCAACTGGGGTTTTCATTTAACCAGGGCGACCGCTCGATACTGTAACCTTGCTGCCTTCTGGACTTTCTTTGGCCCATAAATACAGTATGTGGAACAAGATTCAAGAGCTGTAGCGTTGGGAAGGTGACGTGTGTCTTTCTTACCACCGAGTCAAACTCAGACCTCTGGATTAAGGGACAAAACATCCAACGTCTGGTGTGATCCTTCCCAGGGGCGGCTCTCAAGACATCAGGCACCGCGGGCCTCAGACGCGGTGGGGCCATGTTTTGACACGGAGGGCACCCGGGGGAAGGGCCCTGCCTGGTTGCCATGGCGGGGCTGACAGTACACACGGGCGAAGGCGACGGTGGGGAACAAACAGCGGATGCCTGCAAAGTCGCCCGGCCGGCTGTTGTTCCTGGCTTGCTGGACGTCACGTCGGGGCAGAAGGCGGGCGTCCAACTTGTCCCGTGGCGAGGAGGCCTCGGAGAGAGCGGGGAATGTAGGTCAGGGCGGAGGAAGGCAGCCTAGCCCAGCTTCGGGAGAAGCCTTCTGGGTGGTGAAGGATTCAAAGGACAGGCTGTGGCCTGCCTTGGCTTGCCGGCCGGCCGACCCGCCTACTTGCTTGCTTGCTTGCTGGCCGGCCCCCTCCGGCTGCATTCCTCCCCGGCGACGCAGCCTCCGCCCCGCCTCCTGCCCGGCCAGTGCGGAAGCGGGGAATTTCCTGGCACCGCTTGCGGAACAGGAAGGCGGAAACAAAAACAGCGCCGAGCCAAAATAGCTCAGGGAAGGGAAGGGAAGGGAAGGGGGGCCCCCGGGTTGCTTCGGTCTTAAAGGCACAGGATGCGCGGCAGGCCAAAAAAATGGGTTTCAAGGGATTCCAAGCAGATGGAGGAGCCTTCACGCCCCCCACGGATGGTTCCCCGCTGAACACCCAGCTTCCCAGTCCTCAAGATCTTTAGACAAGATCAACGTGTGTGTGTGTGTGTGGGGGGGTGCTTCTCCCACCTGTTCCCTGAAAGAAGCACGCAAAGGGCAAAGATAAGAACCTTAGATTCTAGATTCACTCAGAAAACTGCAGAGGAAAGAAATCCCTCGTCCCAAATCAGTAGTTTTTTTAACTTTTGAAAGCTTCCAGTTCCCGCGCTAGAAGCAGAAGTAGTAACGCGGGTTAGAATCGGCCCCTCCGCCCCACAAGGCCATTTCTAACGAATGGGGGGGGGGAAATCCTCACTGGGGCTTAACAGCTGTAGATAATATAACCGTGATAAAAACGTCTCTCTGATTTAAGGGCGCTGCTTTTTGTTCTTTCTGGGCCTGCTTTTACGACCTCAACAACAGCTAGAAGGAACGAACGGAGTGGGTGACGCTTATCTTCCGCGGTGGAAGAAAAAGCTTCCCTTGTTTAAATGTCCCCTTCACAACGCTGCTAAAGATAAAGAGTAGGAAAGGCCGTTAAAATAAGCGGCAAAGAAAAACGAACCCATGTTAAGGGATCTCGAGCCCGGGTCCTCTGAAGGCAAGAGCAGGGACCTGCCCTCGCACACTTACCCTAAGGGCCCTCTGTATCCTCTCAGCAGACGTGCCAATACAAACCATTAAAACCCGTGCCTGACATCCATGTTCTGCCAAGACCTCCTCCTCCCCCACCCTGTCTCCTCCACACCCTTTCCACCCACATCCTGCTACGGTCCCAGGTCAGGTTTCCTCCATAGCACAGCTCTGCCCCTCTTCCCCCAGTACAATGGAGGCCCCTCACTCCCCCAGCAGGCAAATGCAAGCAGGAGGGGCACTGGGCTGAAAGCCAGAAGGAGCAGCAAGGGGGAGCCAGGAAAAGGAGAAGGGAAAGGAAGGAATCAAGAGCCGCATTCCAGTTCCTGAACTTAGACAAAGAACACTGCCTTAAATAAAACAACATGTTTCAAATCTTTTCCCTTGACATTTGATCAATCATGCCTCTGTATAAAGGATGCCACTAACACAAAAGTACTGTATAGAATCTGCTTATCTCTTCATTTGATACATACTCTAGCTAGCATACATCTGAATGATCTCACACGGAAAATATGTATTGCTTAAAAATAACTTTTTGCCACTTACTCTATTGTAAGTGTGCACATACACACAGCAGATATACAGTACAAGGAAAGTAACCCATATATCCATGCAAATAAGCAGCATTGTCAATCCTGCTTCGATCCACCAGATTTTTAATATAATTTCATGGCAGATTCCTTGAAACCTGAGATTGTTGTATAGAAACATTTTGACAAGAAACACGAAACAGTACAAAAACAAAAAAACCTTTGTGGTACCTTAAAAATTAAGTGCTATATTTTAACGTAAGCTTTCGTAGAACAAAAGCCACTACCTCACATCTCTTTAACAAAGTACATTAGTACAAGTCTGAAGCTGTCTAGTAACATGCCTCTACAGCCCTCCTGCTCAGCTCTAGATTACTGTGGAATCCTGCCAACCAATACAGACACACACACACACACCGCTCTAAAGAAATTTCACTCTCTCACACACCCTACTGTACATTAATCAGCTTCAATCCCCAATTCTGAAAAATGGTGTACAGTATATTAATTGTTAACTGAAATTAACAGTGTTCCTGGACAAGACTGCTTCCTTCAACTGAACAGAGAGCTTTAGCTGCATGAGAAGAACAGTAAGAACTCAACATTGTTTGGCTAACAAACTGGTGTTCAAATGAAATTTATTGTTTATTTTACTATTATTATTTACATGCCACCTTTTCCCCCATAGGAAAAGTGAATAATTACTGCATTAAGAAAATACAGGTATTATAGCCAAAGTGTCTCACAATAATCACTTTATTGTCACAATAAGGGAAGTATTCCCAATACTTTTGCAACACTATGTTTGTACACGTGGGTTCAAACTGCCTGAGAAAATAGTCCTCTGTCAAGAGAGAGAGCACTTTTGCTTTGCAAGAGGAGAGCTGTTCTCTTTTCACCAAGGAGGGGACATGGGCTGGGGGTTCTGAAGATAGGACATCACTACTGCAGAGATAGACAACCTGAAGAAAGGAGGAAAGGGGAAGAGACAATTAGAACAGAATTACATTACCAACCAAACAGTAATATCATTGGAATAAATTACAAATATTATCAAGGAGTCCTAAAGGACATGGTCAAACTAAAAAACTGTAATAGGATGTGTTACTAATCTTGCTCAGGGATGTGTGTCTGAGACTCTTATTAACATGACTGCTGAGTGCTTCCCTTGAGAAGGGAAGTATGATTGAGGAATTATTTTGGTGCTAGGACAACTTCTTCCCTCTGTAGCCCTAAGTGACAGACAGCCATCTATTTATTACAGCATAGTTACAATAATTAATCAAATTAACAGTAGCAAGCTTGTGCAAATGAGAACTCTCAGCCTTTTCTTAGAAGGAAAGACAGACTTCAGACATCGGGACTCAGCCAAGAAAATGAGCTTATTGGAAGAATGACAAAGATAACTTCAATTTATAAATACTTTGTTTCACAGTCCATGTATGAAGGCTACTTCAAAAGGGGATGGGAGGACTAAAACAGAGCAGGCAGTGTGCCCAAGGACAAGAAACCAGGAGATAAGTAGAAAAAGTGCTTTGTTACCAGTTCTTAATCTAATGAAGGAAAAATGGCGGGGGGGGGGACTGCAATGATGGTCTAAATCCACAGAAAAATCCTGCATTCCAGGACCCTGGTGGAGCATTGCCTGGGCAAGATGACAAGATAACGTTGTGCAAAGACGGGTGCTTTGACAGGTTTTCTGAGACCCAAGTTGAATCCAAACCAATGCCAAGGACTTTTGAAAACACATCAAAAACAAAAATCAGAGGGCAATTTTAAACAAAGGCAAAGACATCCAGTGCCAAGAGACTTTGATTGAAAGCAAATGGAGTGCAGATGCCAGGCCTGACTCCTGAATGAGCATTGTAGATGGTTCATGGGTGAGCACGTAATAAGGTGGAGGATCACAAAGGTTCATGGGCCTGTTGGTATAGAATAGTTGGTAGGATGTTATCCTGATTGACTACAGTGTAGGCAAGATTGCTTAGTGTCAAGAAACTGGGAAATGGAGGGATCATGGAGTCTGGCGCTCTTTTGGAAAATTCAGGCTTTGTAGTCAGTGCCTGGGAGAAGCTGGCTGAGGGTAATGCCCACCAGTAATTGGAAGGGAGTAACACATGCAGCTTATCTGTATGACAGCGGCCTTCAGACCAGGCTGGCTCATTCTTAGGTACTGAACTGGGAAGATGGTTTTCAGCTGAATGATGGGAAGGGGCACCTAGCTGTTACTTGTACTATGGCCACGTTGTGACCTTATTTGTGGGGAAGAAAGATTTTGCTGCACACTGACCACATACCTCTTGTTTCACCCACACCAGGGCAGCCAGATTAGTGTGGCTGAGTGGGCCTTCCTTAATCTGGGTATCCTTGACACTTAGAATATGCAGAACTGCCATTTCCAGGTGAGTGCTAGTACAATCCAATGGAGGAATTTTTAAGGTGGGTGCTATTCCTGACAAAGAGGCACCATTGCCATGAGCTGTTTCGCTTTTACTAGTGCAGTGAGTGACCTAAAATTCTCAAATTTTATATCTGGCCTTAATATGTTAAATAGGAAAGCCAATGAGATTTGCATAAGCCGGGTAGTCAGGAAAGTTTTAAGGATCAGATCATACTTTTGCACTATTAAAGAGCAGGCCGGGTAGGTGGGGCTCGTCAGCCATGGAAGGCAGCCCATCTAGGAGAAGGAAAAGTCCAATTTCAAACCTCCACTGCCTTGTGGCTATATCCACTCATGGAAAAGGCTTCAGGAGTTAACCTCGAGGCAAAATCCGGAGCTGGAGTCCCGAAGGCAGCATGTGTCGTTCTGCCAACTCCTGCGACATTGCTGGAACCAGTTGTACTGGCCCTTGCCTTTCCATTGGACCATTTCAGCAAAGTGGAGAGGAGGGATCTGCTGCTTGGGTAACAGCCTATCCTCCATATTACCTTACCCAGGCTTCATGCTCTGGAGAGGACACTCCTCGATTCAGAGCATGTTACCATAGTCTCTCGAGACTGAAGGATGCCTATGCAGGAGTGTAAGGAAGTAAAACAGGAAGTAAAACAGAGATGATCTAGTAATATTTTACTAAATCCCTAGTTAAAAATGGGATTTTTACTAAGCTAAAATAACATAGTCCTCACTACTTTGATGTACTGTTTGTATTTTGGAGAATAAAAGCAGGTGTAAAGACTGTTCAGCACATCCTCATATATAAAAATCCAAGCTCCATGACATCCAGCATTTGTGTGATGCACTATCCTGCCCTCTTGGGGCATATACAACGTGGAAAGGACAAGTAAGAGATGGCCGCTGCTTCTTCTAGCCCATTGGAAAAGCACTAAGGTTCCTCTATGGTGGGAGAGTTAAATGGCTCTTTTTTTCAGCAGCAGTGTTACTGTAGGGATCCCTGGCAGCTATAAAGGTGTAGGAAACCAATGAGAAAACAAGCTAGCCCCATCAGCATAATTCAACACACAGAGAAGAAAGCAAGAAGGAAAAGCAGGCATTTTCTGCAGTCAGAAGATGACTTCACTGTGTGGAAGAGACAGGCTTTCGCACTGCATAATGAAGCTGGCAAGGAAGTTGGGTGCCTGCTGCCTCAAATACTGAAACAGGAAATCTGAGGTTGACGATGGCTATCTAGTGACTATTGCATTCAAAACAGCTGGAAACTCTGGACATGAGAGTCAGCAATGGTAAGAGATTGCATAGGACTCGATACGTGTCTGAATGAATTAAAAGACTATGACTTACATGAAGCTGCTCATCATCTGTTTGGTGTCTTCCGAGCTCCTAGAGTTGGCAAAACTGATGAATGAGCAATAGACAGCAATCCAGGCACACCATTTTAGCTGCAAATACCACAGAAAACTGCATGAGAGCCTTCATTGGTTCAAAATCCTTAGCAGTTACTTTCTAAAACAATCCTGACACATTTATAAATACATCACCATGCTTCTTAACAAAATTTAGAAACTGTCTTATATTTTTAAAAGACAGATGGGTTTTCCTAGATTACATTGACTTAAAGTTATTGGTGAAACAAGTACAGTAACAAAACAAGTTTATCTTATATGAATATCATACGTCCTGTATTTTAAAAAATTGAAAGAGGCTGCTGTACAAGATCTTGATAAAGTGCAGAAATAAAGTATTAACACAATTAAGGCCTTATTATAAATGCAACTATCATTGTTACAAGCCTTCCACTCAGACCGTGCTACTGAATTCACTACTGGGTTCAGTACAATAATTCACTAATAATAATAATTCATTACTATAAAATTTTACAGATTTTTAGAAACAGAATTGTACTTTAACTGCTGCCTTTATCGACTGACACCTCAATAAAAGACTTGACTGTATAGTTTAGTATTACTTCAGACTATTTCTCCAATTACCAGATGCCGGTATATTCCTTGTTGTTATGACATGACCTCAAGTTGCTTCCAACTTAGGGGCACTGTAATAGGGATTTTGAAGCATGCAAGATATGCAAGCAGTGGTTTAAAATTGACACCTCTTGAATGCATTTCCATGGCTGAGCAGGCATTTGAACCTATACTTCCGGAATCCCAGTTGGACAATTTGTCTGCTACACTGACTCTCATCACCTTTCTTACTTAGATAAAAACTGCTTAAGTACTCTGACTCAGAGATATTTATAACTAATTAGAAATCAAACTCCTTACATAAGCCAAACAGATATTCATATAAGGCATTCTGCTTTCAGCACATATGCAATGATCCATTCATTCAGATAAAGAAATGTAATTTTTACTGTTCATCCTCTAGTGCATAACAGTGGAATGTGAACAGTCTTGTGCAGAAAAAAAATCTCATTCTTCTGGCAGGGAAAACCATTGAATGAGACCAGGGAATATGGTGTTGGCTTTGCAGTTAGAAATACTCTGCTGAGATCCATTGTTCCACCTACTGTGGGGAGTGAAAGAATCCTGTGTCTGCAGCTCCACTCATCAGCGGGACTGGTCACCCTCATCAGTGCATATGCACCAACACTGTCATCTACAGCAGAAGTCAAAGACAAATTCTATGATGATCTAGCAGCTACTATCAAAAAAATCCCCGAGAAAGAGCTGCTGTTTATTCTCAGAGACTTTAATGCCAGAGTTGGTGTTGATCACAATTCTTGGCCCAACTGTCTAGGCCGTTTTGGCATTGGGAATATGAACAAAAATGGTCAACACTTGCTGGAGTTTTGCTATTATGGTCTTTGTGTCAGCAACACGTTCTTTAATATGAAGCTTTGACACAGAGTCTCTTGGAGACATCTAAGATCGAAGCATTGGCATCAACTTGATTTGATCCTCACTAGATACTCTAGCCTTCCTAATATTACAATCATACACAGTTATCAGGGTGCTGATTGTGATACTGATCACTCTCTGGTGTATAGCAGAATAAAACAACAAAAAATAAAGAAAGAGAGAGAGAGAGATTGTACCACATGAAAAAGGAAGGAAGACCACATATTAACATCAGCAAGACCCGTGATCAGAGAAAAGTAGAGGAATCTGCCCAAGCACTTGAAGAAACTTTTCCAGGCCCGGCTGGTGCAAATGCACCTGAATGAAGGAAAAAATTCCAAGAATGCTGTTTATAACACCGCCCTGTCCACATTCGGCAAGAAGACCAAAAAGATGACAGACTGGTTTGAAGTCCATTCGGAGGAGTTGATGCCAGCCATCGAGGAAAGGAGGAGCGCTCTAGCAGCATACAAAGCCTGTCCTGATGAGTACAACTTGCAGGCTCTTCAAGCTGCTCGTAGCAAAGTCCAACAGGCTGCCAGGAGATGTTCCAATGATTATTGGCTTCAGCTTTGCTCTCAGATACAGATAGCAGTGGATACAGGTAACATCAAGGGAATGTATGACAGTATCAAGCAGGCTTTAGGTCCAATACAGA